TATCTACTCAACGGGGACTATAGCTGTCAGGCGAGGGCATGGCAGCGATTTTGGATGTTCCAACTGAGCTGACAGGCAGACACGCCGAACAACATTTGGTGGAAGCGCTACTGTCCAGACCCCCCCGCCAGAAGCCCCAGCATCATGCAGCCAATCTCTATTCTGCAGCTTCTTCGTCTAATCCTAGTGCGAATGTGAGCTTCAGAATTGCATTCTCTTGCTTGCAGTTGTGTATTGACCTTGAATGCCACTCGCCCCTATCAACTGTTTTTTTTCAGGTTGTAGCAGGTGGTAGTTTTGCCCTGCTGCTGTTTACCGAAGGACATGTCAGCGCCGTATTCGGGTCATAGTAGCTGTCTTCACTTGATAGCTGCTAGTTGGAAGTGAAGGAGTGGATCAGCTCAATCTCAATCGATATCGTCATGTAATACATTAGCCATTTTCCTTCGCTGCAAGCAACCTGTAAGTTGAGGCAAGCTGACCTACACGCCGCCGTTCAATCAGAAGGGTGCTCTTCTTTGCTTGTGTGAAAACTATCAGAAAGTGCATGGTTACAGACGCGGAACCAGTCCACTTGCAGTAGGATTCCTTATGTCAGGGACACGCCCCGAAGGTCAGCAACCCCATACATCACAGGCAATGAAGTTTGCAGCGCTTCGCTACTGCATGATGCGGAGGAGACGGATTATATTAGAGTGCATTTACCGGCCTACGCCATACTGCTTTTATCGTGCCAGCCGGAGGACGTGTAGGAGCCTACAGGGGGTTTGGCAGGAATACTACCAGGATGCGCTAGTGCGACGCCTGGCCTGGCTGGCAGTGCGACGAACTTTCGTCCTCCCCCAGTATGGAACCGTAAACCTTAAACATGCATGGGCCAATGAGCCTGGATCATGTTTGTGGCCAAGGCTTGCCAACGCCACACGATGCGATGGAGCCACGCGCATCCTACCTGGACCTCAATCAGCTGGTTTACTCTTTGGGGTTTAGGGCTCTGGGTGTAAGGTTGCAGGCCTGCTTGATGGAACACCAATTTTGACAGGTTTTTTGGGGATCTCGACAGAAAGCGTGAGCGTGCTTTTTTAAAGGTTCCCCTTGTCCAGAGCGCTTATCGTTTCCAAAGCTTAGATTGTGGCTGTTCTTCAGAACGCTAAGTCTCGAATTCTTACTCGCTCTTTGGCAAACGTGCCATTACGTTTGAGGCCTACCCGTTTGTTGCAGGAGCATGTCAACGCCAGTCCCCACGAACGGGTTTGGCCGTTACTGCAAACATCCAGAAGGAACCCAGAAGGAAACCATAACTATGCTAAAGACTTCTGCATCTCCGTATAAAACTTAGAGATGCGCAAACGTTCCTGTCCGGCAGCGCACTAGGAGGCCTGCTTCTTCTGCAATTCTATATATATATA